ACAATGCAGCGAGAGCTGGTCTGCAGATCATTGTGGACATAGCCGATACAGCAGCACAAGCTATGGCAACAGCAATTGCCATGCGACAATCGTCATGGCTTCCTGAAGCGGCTGTTCCAAGGGAACTTCAGAATAAAGTGGAGGACCTTCCCTTCGAGAAGCGTAAACTATTTGCCGAGAAGACAGACGAAGTCCTCCATTCGGGTAAAGACTCCCGAACTATGCACGCTGGGCATGTATACCCCTCCGTACAGGAGGAAGAGATATTACCCGTATCAAAGTCGGTACGATTTCCAGTACAATAGACAGCAACGACGTCCCTTTGATCAGCCCAGACAGAAAAAAAGAGTACAGAGTAAATGCGCCCAACCGTCACGCATGATCGCTCAACGAGGCCAGAAGCTGCAAATTTGACTCCTCCGTCGAGGTCCGTGAACCACTTGCCATTGTCGAACCAACCACTCAGGACCATCTTCTATTTCATCACAGATTACGGCCCTTTTACCATGAATGGGCCGAAATAACAATGGATCGATGGGTCTTAGAGGTCGTAAGGTCTGGTTTCACAATCCCATTTACTTCCATTCCTCCTCCCTCCCCACCCACCCCGTCCCTCTTCAGGGACCCATCTCATGAAGATCTTCTGAAACAAGAAGTACACCATTTACTCGAAATAGGAGCTGTAGAGATGGTACCTTTATAGTTCAGGGGAAAAGGGTTTTATTCCTGTTACTTTTTGACGCAAAAGAAAACAAGAGGATGGAGGCCCATTTTGGATCTGCGAAGACTGAACCAATACCTTTAGAAACAACACTTCAAAATGACTACTCTCATGTCCATAATCCCAGCTCTCGACAATGCAGACTGGTTTGTAGCCCTCGGCTTGCAAGATGCTTATTTCCACATCACTATTCATCTGGCTCACTGCTGATTCCTCCGCTTTGTGGCCGGCGACACTCATTTCCAATACCATGTTCTCCTGTTCGGCTTGGCTTCGGCCCCAAGAGTCTTCTCCAAGACATTATCTGTGGTGGCCACCCATTTACGCCGCAAAGCTATTATTGTCTTCCCATACCTAGACGATTGTCTGATAAAGGTGAGAACTGAGCACGAGGCATCTCACATGGTCTCAATGGTCAGACGCACTTTCAACTCCCTCAGACTCATTGTCAACGAGCAGAAGTCCACGACAGAGCCCACTCAAGTCATAAATTTCATAGGAGCCAGACTAGATTCTATCACTGCAAGGGCGTACTTGCCAATCGAGCGGTTCCATGCTATACAAGACCTGATTGCAGTTCTTCAACAAGCTCCCATCGTACCGATTCACACTTGTCTCTGACTTATGGTCATATGGCTGCGAACACATTCATGGCCATGCACTCCCGCCTTCATTTCTGATGCCTACAACATTGGATAGCTCCAGTATACATTCCGGCAAAACATGACATCCACAAATTGGTTACTTCTCCACCTCAGGTCCATCTTTCCCTGCTGTGGTGGACCAAATCACAGAACTTAATGGCGGGCGATCCATTCCGTCATCCTTAACCTTCTTTCCAGATAACGACGGATGCATGCCCCCTAGGGTGGGGGGGCTCATATGAACGGCTCATGACAACTCAGGGCATATGGTCAACTACGGAAAGAGCTCAGGGCCGTGCGTCTCACTTGCAACCATTTCAAACACTTCGTATCAGGTGCGACTGTCAGAATTCTTACAGACAATGTAGCTACGATGTTTTATATAAACAGGCAAGGGGGAGCGAGATCACGATCCCTTTGTGCCAAAGTGATACAAATTGTGGAATTGGTGCTTAACAAACAACATCAACCTAATCGTGTCATATTTACCAGGCATCAACAATACCATAGCGGATGATCTCAGCAGAAGATTCCCCCACAATCATGAGTGGGAACTACGGTCAGATGTTCTTCACCAAATCTTCCATCAGTGGGGGACATTCTGAGTATATTTGTTCGCCACAAAGGACAATGCCAAATGTCGCCTCTTTTGTCCCAGGGCAGGCATGGGGAGGAAGTCACTGGGAGGTGCATTCTTAACCAGTTGGAAGGGTTAGTTGATGTACGCATTTCCTCCAACCCCACTCATACCTCGAGTGTTGGAGAAGATCAAGGCAGACTGGGCACTAGTGATCCTCGTCGCACCAGTATGGGCGAAACAGCATTGGTTTCCCTTCCTACATCTAATGTTGGTGAAGCCTCCTTTCTCCTTTCCCCACCTTCCAGACCTTCTTTACCAGAACAATAGTCGTCTACTTCACCCCAAACCAGACACATTATACCTGACAGCTTAGCTTTTGACTGGTTCACAGAATTGGAACACCTTTGCTCACAACAAGTCAAGCACGTACTGATGCATAGCAGGAGACAATCCACGTGCATGACCTAGCTGGCAAAGTGGCGTCGATTTTCTCTATGGTGCTCCCAGCGTGACATCGATCCCAAGAAGTCACAACTACATCACGTACTTGACTACTTGTTACATCTACAGCAGTTGGGTCTTTTGCTGTCCTCTCTGAAAGTACATTTATCTGCAATTAGTGCCTTCCACCACTCTGTGGACGGTACTTCGGTATTTGCTAACCCTATGATGAAAAGATTCTTCAAGGGTCTGACTAATCTTAACCCTCCTCGAAGACCACCTCCTCTTTCTTGGAATCTTGACCTAGTATTGGACACTCTCATGCACCGTCCATTCGAACCCCTCGCCTCAACTTCCCTTCAAATGATGACAGCAAAGGTCCTCTTTCTCCTAGCAGTCACATCAGCACGGAGAGTCAGTGAGCTGGCTGCGCTTATGGCTAACCCCCCATTTACAACTTTTACCCAAAACTCAGTCGTATTAAGACTACACCCTGCCTTTCTTCCTAAAGTTTGTTTGAAGTTCCATATTAATGAACCTATTATGTTGTCCTCCTTCTACCCGAAGCCTCACCCATCCTCTCGGGAAGCTTTGCTACATACCCTTGACATACGTCGAGCCTTATCTTTCTACATCTACAGAACTCGGGAGTGGCGTAAGATGGACCACCTGATAGTATCTTACTCTGGTCATTCCAAGGGCTGTCCTCTTTCCAGCCAACGTATTTCAAACCTTATAGTTCAATGCATTACCATGTGCCCCAATATCCAGAAAAGGCCACTCCAGTCTCGCCCTAGGGCACACTCTACAAGAGCAACTGCCACTTCAGTGGCATTCGTCAAGGGGGTCCTGTTGATGGACATTTGTAGAGTCGCAATGTGGTCATCTGACACTACATTTATACAACATTACACAATTGCATGACAGCTAGCGGGGGACTCAGCAGTGGCTTCAGCAGTTCTCACCTGTATCAGTAAATATGACTCCATAGTGCAGATGGGTACTGCTGTGTAGTCACCAACAGTGGAGCAACCACGAGGAACACTTGAAGAAGAAGCTACTCACCTTCGTGCAGTAACGATGTTTCTTCGAGATGTGTCCCCGTGGGTGCTCCATATCCTGCCCACCTCCCCACTCCAGAGCCTTTTCTATTCTCATTTCAGATTGATGAGCGGTGAGAGGAACTGGCGGGAGCCAGACCGTGCAAGACAAAAAGGGCGCGAATGGCACGTGGCACTTATCGCGCATGCACGGTCTGGCCGACTACGGCTAGGAAAATCTCCGATCTGCGGTGCCGGGAGGAGCCCAACACCAGCAGTGGAGCACCCACACGGAAACATGATTACTGCACGAAGGTGAGTAACTTCTTCTTACAGACCATAGTTAATAGTTCTGCAGTTTCACATTTGAGTTCTTTCAGAACTCTTGGGTGAATGCCATCAGGTCCCAGTGACTTGTTACTGTTAAGTTTATTGATTAATTCCAAAACCTCCTCTAATGACACTTCAATCTGTGACAAGTCCTCAGATTTGTCACCTACAAAGGATGGGTCATGTTTGGGAATCTCCCTAACATCCTCAGCCATGAAAACTGAAGCAAAGAATTCATTTAGTTTCTCTGCAATTAATTTATTGTCTTTAAGTGCTTCTTTTGTGTATCTATTGTCCAAGGGCCCTACTGGTTGTTTAGCAGGCTTCCTGCTTCTGATATACTTAAAAAACATTTTGTTATTACCTTTGGAGTTTTTGGCTAGCTTTTCTTCAACCTCCTATTTGGCTTTTCTTATTACATTTTTATACTTAATTTGGCAGTGTTTATGCTTCTTTCTGTTTACCTCACTAGGATTTGACTTCCACTTTTTAAAAGATGTCTTTTTATCTCTCACTGCTTCTTTTATATGGTTGTTATGCCATGGTGGCTCTTTTTTAGTTCTTCTACAATGTTTTTTAATGTGGGGTGTACACTTAAGTTGGGCCTCTATTATGGTGTCTTTGAAAAGTGTCCATGCAGCTTGCAGGGATTTTACTTTAGTCACTGTACCTTTTAATTTCTGTTGAACTAGCCTCCTTATTTTTGCATAGTTCCCCTTTTTTAAATTAAATGTCACAGTGTTGGGCTGCTGAGGTATTCTTCCCACCACAGGAATGTTAAATGTTTTTATATTATGGTCACTATTTCCAAGCGGTCCTGTTATAGTTACCTCTTGGACAAGATCCTGCGCGCCACTCAGGACTAAATCGAGAATTGCCTCTCCCCTTGTGGGTTCCTGTACCAGCTGCTCCAAGAAGCAGTCATTTAAGGTATCAAGAAATTTTGTCTCTGCATCTTGTCCTGAGGTGACATGTACCCAGTCAATATGGGGATAGTTGAAATCGTCCACTATTATTGAGTTCTTTATTTTGACAGCCTCTCTAATCTCCCTTAGCATTTCATAGTCACTATTACTGTCCTGGTCAGACGGTCAAGAATAGATCCCTAGAGTAGGGAATTATATCCATAGCGATTCCATGGAACATGTTGATTAATTTAAGATTTTTACTTAAATTTACTTAAAAGATTTTTACTAGTAAATAACCTCTCTCTCTCAGCAATTTTGTCATATTTTTAATGTCAGACTCAAGTCATGCTAGAACTGAAGACTCGTGTGGAGGAGCTGAAGATGGAAAATGAGTACCAGCTACGACTGAAGGACATGAACTACAATGAGAAAATGAAGGAATTAACTGAAAAATTCATCCAGGAGATGGAGTCTCTTAAAACCAAAAATCAGGTATTGTTCACCTTGTAGCAGCAAATAGCAAGAAATCTCTGCTCTTATTCCCAAAGTGTTATATTCACAACTCACATTATATAGGCATTGATCCCATAGAACTCTAGAACTGGAAGGGACCTTGAGAGACCATCAAGTCCAGTCCCCTGCCCTCATGGCAGGACCAAATACCTTCTAGATCATCCCTGATAGATGTCTGTCTAACCACTTCTTAAATATCACCAGTGATACAACATCCCTAGGCAGTTTATTACAGTGTTTAACCACCATGACAGTTAGGAACTTTTTTCTAATGTCCAACCTAAACCTCCCTTGCTTCAGTTTAAGCCCCTTGCTTCTTGTCCTATCCTCAGAGGCCAAGGAGAACAATTTTTCTCCCTCCTCTTTGTGACACCCTTTAGATACCTGAAGGCCACTATCATATCCCCTCTCAGTCTTCTCCTTTCCAAACTGAACAAGCCCAGTTCTTTCAGTCTTCCTTCATCGGTCATATTTTCTAGACTTTTAATCATTCTTGTTGCTCTTCTCTGCATCTTCTCCAGTTTCTCAACATCTTTCTTGAAATGTGGTGCTCAGAATTGGACACAGTACTCCAATTGAGGCCTAATCAGCGCAGAGTAGAGTGGAAAAATGTCTTGCTCACAATACTCCTGTTAATGCATCCCAGAATCATGTTTGCTTTTTTTGCAACAGCATCACACTGTTGGCTCATATTTAGCTTGTGGTCCACTGTGACCCCTAGATCCCTTTCTGCCATGCTCCTTCCTAGACAGTCACTTCCTATTCTGTATGTGTGACATGGATTGTTCCTTCCTAAGTGGAGCACTTTGCATTTGTCTTAATTAAACATCATCCTGTTTACCTCAGACCATTTCTCCAGTTTGTCCAGATCATTTTGAATTATGACCCTATCCTCCAGAGCAGTCGCAACCCCTCCCAGCTTTATATCATCTGCAAACTTAATAAGTGTCCTGTCTATGCCAATATCTAAATCGTTGATGAAGATACAGACCCCTGCGGAATCCCACTTGTTATACCTTTCCAGCATGATTGTGAACCATTAATAACTGCTTTCTGAGAACAGTTATCCAGCCAGTTATGCACCCTCCTTATAGTAGTCCCATCTAAGTCGTATTTTCCTAGTTTATTGATAAGAATATCATGCGAGACTGTATCAAATGCCATAGTAAAGTCTAGGTATAATACGTCCACCATTTCTCCCTTATCTACAAGACTTGTTATCCTATCAAAGAAAGCTATCCTATTAGTTTGACTTGATTTCTTCTTTACAAATCCATGCTGGCTGTTAATGTTACCCCAAAAAAATCCCACTGGAGACCTGCCAGGGTTACGCTAGCATGGGTTTATTGCCACTAAAGCAGGGGTTCTCAAACTTTTTGATACCACGACTCCTTAAAATGCTAAATTAATTTGTGTGACTCCCCACCCTCACTGCTCTGGGTCACTTCCTTCCCCTTCTCACCAGAATCCTTGCTCTTCTGGGGTTCCTTCAAGGCGTTTGCGGTCCTCAACGCCCTTCCCTCCTGCAGGCTCCTTCCCCCAGTCTTTCTCTTCTGTTACGGTGTCTTTGAAAACTGTCCATGAAGTTTGCAGGGATTTTACTTTAGTCACTGTACCTTTCAATTTCTGTTGAACTAACCTCCTCATTTTTGCATAGCTCCCCTTTTTTAAATTAAATGCCACAGTGTTGGGCTGCTGAGGTGTTCTTCCCACCACAGGAATGTTAAATGTTTTTATATTATGGTCACTATTTCGAAACAGTCCTGTTATAGTTACCTCTTGAACCAGATCCTGTGCACCCTTTGGTTCCGTTCCTCTCCCATGCCTCCTCTGCCTCCTCCTCTGACCCCTACGAAACAGTCCTGTTATAGTTACCTCTTGAACCAGATCCTGTGCACCCTTTGGTTCCGTTCCTCTCCCATGCCTCCTCTGCCTCCTCCTCTGACCCCTACATGTCCTTATTTACCTCCGGGTCCTCTGCCCCAACCCAATCCTCCATCCCACTGCCTGAGGGACCCTGCCCTCTCCTAGCTGGAGAAGCGTTCGGTTGCCCAGCAACTGTACGCTGGCCGGCCCCTTGCGTCTCCACTCCTGTGCTGGCACCGGCCTCACTCTCCCACCGCCGTGCTTCCTCCTGCAGCTGAGCCGCGCTCCTGGAGTCCCACGGCCCCGGCCATGCTGCGCGGCTTGCCGGTGGCTGCCTTCCGCCACCCTACTGCTCTTCACGGCCCAGGGGAGAGGGGTTGCAAGTGAAAAACCAAATCTAGCTGCGACCCCCCTCTAAGTTGCTCGCAACCCCCAGTTTGAGAAACGCTGCACTAAAGGTTTAAACTAAAGTAGATACAGAGCTGCCACAAAAGGTATAAACTAAAGAGGGAACCAGCTATCTCTCTCTCACACACACAACAAAATATACACACCCCTCCATTCATTCACTTATTCACACACATTCATTACACAGGCATATGGGTTGCAGAAGGAGCCATGGCATGTTTGTTCTGGAGGGTCTGTCTGCTCATCATGGCTGGGAAGCTGGTCAGGAAAGACACTGGCTATAGAGAGGAGTTTCTCAGGAGCAGGGGAAGAAAGGGAGAAGTCTCACATGTGCTCCCTCTCTTTATATTGTGTCTGTATGACCCTTGTGACTCATCCACCTCATCACCAGAGAGCATGCCCAGACTTCGGAGAAGTCTCACATGTGCTCCCTCTCTTTATATTGTGTCTGTATGACCCTTGTGACTCATCCACCTCATCACCAGAGAGCATGCCCAGACTTCTGTTTATCCAGGAAAGGAGCAGTCTCTGATGACTCATCACCATGTGCTCCAGCCTTAGCATTGCAACTTCAAAAACACACACACACACTCACATTCTCTCTCTCCATCACTCAGGGGAGAATGCAGTTTAGAGCAAGTTACAAACAAAGTGGCTAAGAGTTACAAAGGTTACAAAAGTTGCAGCTTGCAGTAAGTTTCTGAACTTATATAGCAAAGTTGCTGAGAGTTACAAAGTTGCAAGGTTTGACAAAAGATTACAGCAAGTTGCAAAGTTTGACAAAGATTACGATGAGTTGCATTTTAAAACCTCAGACCTTACAATTTAGTGTATTTTCAGAAAATGCATGTGTAAAATCAAGTAAGTTCAGGCGGAGGGTTTTTTTATGCAACAGTTACCTCTTACCTTATTATCTTCCAGATGTTTGCAGATGTATTCCTTAATTACTTGCTCCATTATCTTTCCTGGCACAGAATTTAAACTGACTGGTCTATAGTTTCCAGTGTTGTTCTTATTTTCCTTTTTATAGATGGGCACTAGATTTGCCCTTATCCAGTCTTCTGGAATCTCTCCTGTCTGCCATGATTTTTCAAAGATGATAGCTAAAGGCTCAGATACCTCCTCTATCAGCTCCTTGAGTATTCTAGAATGCATTTCATCAGGCCCTGGTGACTTATAGACATCTAACATTTCTAAGTGATTTTTAACTTGTTCTTTTTTAATTTTATCTTCTAAACCAGCGGTTCTCAAATTTTTTGGGCTCCGGAGCCCTTTACATGCGTAAAAATGTATGCGGCGTGCCAGCGGCCCACTGATTGCATATGTTGTATGATTGTATGTTTCCAGTTTGTCAACCTCACAGAGCCCCTGGAGACGTCTCGCAGAGCCCCAGAGTTTTGAGAAACACTGTTCTAAACCTACCCCTTTCCCACTAGCTTTCACTATGCTAGGCACTCCTTCATCATCAGACTTCTCAGTAAAGACCAAAACAAAGAAGTCATTAAGCACCTCTGCCATTTCCAAGTTTCCTGTTATTGTTTCTCCCTCCTCACTGAGCCATGAGCCTACCCTGTCCTTGGTCTTCGTCTTGCTTCTAATATATTTATAGAATGTCTTCTTGTTTCCCTTTATGTCTGTAACTAGTTTGAGCTCGTTTTGTGCCTTTGCCTTTCGAATCTTGCCCCTGCATACCTATATTGTTTGCTTATACTCATCCTTTGTAATTTTTCCTAGTTTCCACTTTTTTATTACTCTTTTTTGATTTTGAGATCATGCAAGATCTCCTGGTTAAATCAAGTCAGTCATTTGCCATACGTTCTATATTTCCTACTCAGCGGAATAGCTTGCTTTTGGTCCCTTAATAATGTCCCTTTTAAAAACTGCCAACTCTCTTGAGTTGTTTTTCCCCTTAGTCTTGCTTCCCATGGGACCTTACCTATCAGCTCTCTGAGTTTACCAAAATCTGCCTTTCTGAAATCCATTGTCTCTATTTTGCTGTTCTCCCTTCTACCATTCCTTAGAATCATGAACTCTGTGATGAGCTCCCTGCAGTATTTCCCGGGAACCTGTGGTCAGCTGGGGAGTCCCCAGCTGACCCCAGGCTCCAGGCAGCTGCCCTTTTGAATTATGCAAATGTGTGGTTTAAAAGGACAGCTGAGCCACTCATCGGCACAATTCAAAGGGGCAGCTGCAGGGAGCCCAGGTTCAGCTGGGGAGCCCCCAGCTGACCCCAAGCTCCTAGCGGCATGCGGCATAGCATGGGGCTCGCGATCACAAGGGGACTCTGAGTCCCCCCACTGGCCCTGGGCTCCATGGCTTTGAAATGCACAAGAGCCCCCGCTGGGGACTGTTGTGCATTTCAAAGAAGGCACCTGCATGCAGCCCGGAGTCACCGGGACTTCCTACTGGCCCCAGCTGAATGTGGAGTTCCACATTCCTCCTTTGAAATGTACAAGTGCCTATCGACTAGTCGACTAGTCAAAAGACTATGCAATAAGCAGATGCTTATTGGATAGTCGACTAGTCTTTAACATCTTTAGTGCACAGAAGTCAGAGATTTTTCCTTTAGCAGTATCCATATAGTCATCTCTGGTGCCCCTTGGAATTCCACACTCATGCACCAGTATATAAGGTGCTACTGGCCCCATGCCCTCTCAGTTCCTTCCTATTGTCTCTGTTGCTGGAACACTCCTTGCTCTTGCAAG